CACATTCACTGCATAAAAATTAATAGTCTTTGTGGACTTCGGTGAATTTCATTAGCGTCTTACGTGGCTCGTGCCTTCGTACTAGCTGCAAAGTATTAGCGACTTACCGGGTGCAACGCCTTAACCTAATCTTCCAGGAAGGAGACAAATCATGCGTCACAGGATGGCTCCGTCAAGGCAGTTTAGCATTTAAAACAGCAAAAAAGAACTAGGACATGAGTTTCCTCAGTAAACAATTACATTTTTTGACAAATTTTGCTTTACTACTGCAGCGCGTTCCTAGAAAACTACATCTTTTCACGCTCGAAGACACCAAATTCAGAAGAAAAAAAACGGATTACGTGAAAACTATTCGGTTAAGGAGCGTTCTTTTAGTGAGAACTGCAAATCGTGAATAACCACTGGCCGATATGTGGCGAATAACAACTGCATATTTGCGTAAAATGGCAGCAAGACGAGAGTAAAACTGCTGGCTACGTAATTAATTGGGGCATGACCGGATTCAGTTCAAGTTGCACGTAACAAGAACGCTGGCATTTACAAACTCACTTCAGAACATAAAATACCTTCCTCGAAATTCTTCGACGCTCAATTCCTTCCTCTTCTTGCTTCGTTGTAGGCAATGAAGTAAGAAAAAGTTGTTTTTGAAGCTCAAAAAGGCAGAACACGAAATAAAAATATCTCGAAAATAAGGGAGAGGCGAATAAAAGAATAAAGTTTATCATCAGCACTGAAGGCCTGCAGGTTGTTTCCGCCACAGAGAATTTTATTTAAAGTTAAACTGGCCTTTATTTAAAACTGCATCTTCCCTTCAATTTACTTAAAAGGCGATGAAATAATTAAAGAGGAACTCGTAAGAAATTCAGACTCTTAAACGATATTGAACTAAGAACTGGAATATTTGAAAACAATTACAAGGTCACCGGGCCCAAATATGATCGAGTTAAAAGTCTGTATGACGCAAATGGCACGAGGAATTTTGCGTTCTTCTGTGGCGATCCGGCTTGCCATTTTTCGCGGTTTTCTCAGAATGCGCAAATATGTTCCTCTCCACAAGGTCATCATCCATGTTCTTACTCAGCCCCACAAACACAAATCTATCTTATAGAGAACATAAGGCCGAAGAATCGGCCTTTTAAAATTTATAACTTGTGTTTCGATTCCCGGCGGTGACCGAATTTATAACTTGAGTTGGGCAAGGCCGTGGTATAGGCAACACGGAGTTTTTCTCCGTGGCATCCCAACAATTACTTCATTCACACACAGAAGAAGGCAATGGCAACCCACTTCTGGATCATCTGCCAAGAACGTATATGAACAGGTCCCAGTCCGAGAAAAGGATGGAAGGATCCTGTTCATATGGACCTGTCGTCAGACAGAACACTAAATAAATATAAATATCAGGAGTCAGCCTTTTCTTAGACTCATAATGCATGAGGAAACACGAATTCTTCCACGGGCATTACATATGTTTATTGACAACTATCTCTGAGAACTTCTACATATAATTATCTCACTTTAACTCATTGACAGAACTGTGCAAGACTTAATACTTGCAGGAGTTTGTGGGGGTCAGACACAAATGTGGAAACAAGGATTCAGTTGTATTACCAACCTAGTTTCGCCTGACAGTCGAACTGAATTACGTGTCGCCCATCCGCTCAGTCCGGGATTAGTTGCATGCACATAATGACGTACAGATATTTTTAATTAAGGGATAAACGCGTTTACACGCTTTACGTTACTGAACAGGGTAATTGGACACCACAGAAAGTTGGCGAGTTCATCTCTGACGTAATATTCAATCCACATTATATGCACAAATAAAATTGTCCTTGCACATGAGCACAGAGGAAAAATCAGGAAGGAGGCGGATGTAGACCACAGCGCGTTCCGAACCCCAGAACTAAGAAGTAACAGTAGATTATGCAATTTGTAGTCCGCAACCCGGAACAAAATCGACCGGAATCCACTGAAGTTCTGAGTGAGCGGAAAATAAAACTTAAGGCCCCGACTATCCTAACCACGGTCTCCCACTCCGCCTGCAGCGACCTTCATTGAAAGAGGCGCCACATTCTTCGTACGTAGAAGAAGAAATTTAAAAAGAAATTAATGGTTGACTTTACGCGACAAACAGAATATTATCCAAATATTTCTCTAACCTTTAAGAAAATATAAATTTTTAACGAACGAAAGCGACCATTTAGTCCAAATGCACCTTCTCTTTTCAATGTTCTGTTACATTTCTGGCTACTATAAAATTCTTCTTTAAATACTTAACCTGTATTCTTGTCCCAGAATATAATTTTGGAGTACAATGTCTTCCCCAAACAAAACAGTGGTGGTTAAATTTGTCTTCGATCGTCTACCACAATTGGTGTTCAGTACAGAGACAAACAATTTCACCAGGTCACTTCTCCTCAGGGATGAGACGTTTCCTCTCGAGAAGACAATACCAGCATTATCTATCTTCTATATAATTATATTATATAATTCTTGAATATAATTATTTATCTTCGTCTACAATCATTAGTTTCCAAGACACAGAAGACATCTACGCCAGGAATGGAACTCAGGACAGTTTTATCGGAGTTTTAACCAATGTTTCTGTGAACTCCCTTCGATACCATGTTTCTATGGAGCTTGTTTACCTGCCACAAGAACCACTTCTGCCGGGACACGAACTCAGACTTTTGCCATTTCCCGGTCTCAATGAATAAACACGTAAAGTTTGGTGCAAATCCGTACGCCCATTCCCGAGCTGTATGCAAACATATACACACAAACAATTTCAATTATTTCAATTATTCTGACTCATTAATCAAAATTAAATCGTGATATATCAAAGTGCCAGAGAATAAATCTAGAAATATGAATAGGACGCCCACTAAAACAAACATTATTTAACATTAATATGAATAAAATAATTTACTGCAAGTAGATGCAGTATACTCAAATTCAATTTAACTTCAAGCTAAAACAACACAGGGAATTAATACACTGTTGTAGGCAGATGACTTGGTGCTTTATGTGACTCGGGTGATTGTTTAGACTGAGCCTACTTAACGTAACAACTTAGATCAATTTGGAATGTAAATAACTCCATTAAAAAATGAAGTAATTGCACTTGTAGGGCACTTTTCAATAAGAAAAAAGAAACTGCAATATTAAGCACCTTACCGGAACAAGCAAATCAACCACGGATTTGACATCTAAAATTACATACGGAGAGAGAAACCGTATAACTTGACAAATAATTTTTTTGGGGGGAAGGGGTGGAATCCTTCCGTGGCTTTAAAACATGCGATTTGGTGACGCTGCTGTGAACAGTTATAATATTGCGGTCGAAACACGTAATTCATTGGCCTAACGTCGTAACCGGAAGAAAATTAGGGAAAACTGAGAACCAAAATTGTTGCTTTGGAGGATGGCAGGGAGGTTTTGTCTGTGTTGATAATGTCGTTGAAAATGCAGCTGCAACAATAATTGGCCAGCGACTGTCCGAATTCCCAACGTAACGAAGCTACACACACCAGCATCGCAGAGTCTGCTGGCGTAACACATCGGACGCGAGGGGCAGTGAGATCCATGTGTTCCGGGTTTGCTTTTGGTGTGGGGGCAGCAGAACGCTTCAATTCTCTCATTTGGGTCTTTCCATGCAATGTACGAGCCAGCCGGACCGAGTAACGCAGGTGTGTGTTTGTGCCCTGTAACAGATGGCTCGTTCCCAGAAGCTAGGATGCACGAGTCTGTGCGCGTATGTGTCAATGTTTGTCTATGAGGAGCTTCGGGAAACAAAAAATGCATTTGGAATGAACAGGGCGAAGAACGATTAACATAAGTGTCCTTAATATGCGAGTGTTACTAACAACACGTCGCTTAATTACAAAGGCATCAGTGACTATACACAAATGATGACATCTGGAAAACAACACGAAAATACCAAACGGGTGGAATAATAATAAGAATGATAATGTTCTTAATATATAAAAATATTTATTGTTTAATATTCTTTAATATCAATGTCCTGAGACTTTGTGATTGTGAAGCCTCGGTTTAATTACGACTTCGCTATTAATTTAGGAGATTACTAATTGATCCCGCTAAGTACAATGCAATAAATATCCTTTGCTAAAAACACGGTGCGGTATCCAAAAAAAAATCTGCCCCACGTATACATACTTACGTATATAAGTAGATAGCCTCTTTCAATCTCGTCACAAGATAATTAATTACGATAGGCGTGGTGTGACTCAGAAATGAATGTATAATCAACGCTTTCTTTGTTTTGGGTTTATCCAACACCCGTTTTCTGATTTCAGAGAAATTCACAAAAGTTCAAAAAGTGACTTCGTTTTGAACGCTGGAACGTCATCTGTTTTCAGGTCAAAATGGACGACACTTCTATTCCGATGACACTGGAAGATCCAGCAGTTCTCTGTCTGAGGATCACAGATCCATCATACAAATATTTGTAGTTTTTCTAAGGTTTTTAAGAATTTTAACAGACTGACAAAATCCATATAATACCACTGCCAAAGACATTCAGTGAAGAACGAAATTTAAATTTGTCATACAAGAATTTTAATTCTACATTTGACCTTTCTCAATTCTGTAAGAATATTTAAGAGCCACAATTATAAAGATAAATGGGCGATAATCGAGAAACAGTGCAACTCAGGCTAGTACTGATTCGCTGATTCGCTGCTCAGCTGTTTCAGGGGTGGCGTGATCGTACGTTAGTTTTACGCGTATCACCATCAGCAGGTCGATAAAGCAGAGAGCTGCAAGAGATTGTCGCTACGCCTATCGATTATGCAGATCTTCAGGCATGAAGTTGTTTTAAAGCGTACGTCCTTCTTTCTGATTCACATCACACTCAACGAAAAATAAATAATAATTAACACTTCTGTAATTCAACATTACAATGAGAATCGTTGATACATAAACGTTATATACGCTAACCCAAGATAATATACTTAGGTTTAACAGTCGTTTAAAACCTATACAGATTTTACACACCCCTTCAAATAATAGGCCGACTGAGGATACCAGATTCGTGAGGATGTGAAGAGAAGTGGTCATCCTAGCATTTGTCTGCTACGCCTGGTATATGAAAATGTCGGCCATCTTTCGAATTGAACGCAATACATGACTGGTTAACCATAAGGCAAACGCGTTCGGTTCGGTTCAGTCCTATGCCTAAACCTTACCACTAAAGCATTGTGTTGTGTGTATCAGTCATCGTCTAATTAGCATCCCCCGAGAAGTCCATTTCGTTCTATATTCTCCTCTGGCTGACTCGGTGAGCAAACAAATGACGGGGTTCGGCCATGTTTCGAAATTCCCTGTAACATACCCCGAAGCCAGGTCAGAATACATTTGCATTTAACCAGTGATTTATGGCGACTGAAGTGACAATTCTATAAGCATGGTCACTATCAATGTGTTTTCAATGCAAATCTACAATTTGCAGTCATTGTAACATCTGACATTACGTTTGCATAAATCATAGCACATCCACGACACTTAAAATGTAAGAACACTTTATAATTCTGACATCGGGTGTTAAGGAGACTTTACAGTGGTTCACATTTATTTGCCGTCAACGTACAACAATTCGGAATTTGTTTAAATCCACACAAATACCCTCAAAATTGTTTCACTACGTGCAGAAATATTATATATTCAAAGACGATAAACAAAAGCATTTTCTTACAAACAATTTACAAATAATGAAATTGCTTTTTGTTTCGAATAAGTTTACTAGCGTTAACATGAAGGCACACATAAACGATTAGCTACATTGTCAGCGATTGTTGAGGTGCAAAACACGTTTGTGTGCAGTGTCCGAGGAGCATCAGTGCTCATTGTTGTCATTGGCTGAGCGAAAGGTCGGAATTCTCACAACTGGCAACAAACGAGGACGCGTTCAGCTCGTTATGTAAAGTGACTAGCAACATTTCATCTACATCAAGCCACTCTTTGTCTGCAAATGAATATCAATTAGAACATTCTGGAATGCAACGGAAGCCTCCGCACTGGGCTCCTTCATGTCTATTCACTTCTTTAACGTCGGGTACTCACGACAATGGCATAAGGCAATGTGGGTCCTGACAGAAGCAGAACGTATCGTCATAAGGTTAATCGGTATTCCGGCAGAGTTCGAACCCAGAACCCTCAAAACACGCAGGGATAATGACACTGAATTATGAGAGGTCCTTTTCGAGGACGTGCACCGTCTATTCTGGATTTACCAATACTCAAGGACATACATAATGTAAGAAAGTAATGTGGGGAACATGATGAACATTTGTCTTACACTGACGCGTAGATCAATACTCAGTAACATAGGGCAAAGGCCTAACCTAACCTAACCTCACTGAACCAGCGATTAGACCTCCCAGAATCCCTGTCTTGCGTTACTTTTTTTTATACTTCTAAAATGGCACTGTTATATTTCTAAACTTGTTTCTGCTACGGTAAAATTAAGGTTTTTTAGGTTGCATGAGATTACAGCAACTGATTACCACGCAAATGCTGCGTGAAAGTCACGAAATCTAGCGCGATAATAAAGAAAAGGCGGTCTGTCCAAGGCTCGTTCTAAAAAGCTGAAAAATACCTCCTTCACGAATCAGCAATTGTTAACAAATAGTCCGCGAAGAATATGAAATAAAATTGACATCAAAGGCTTTCTTTTGAAGCAACACGACGTGCACTTTGTACGCAGATCCAGTGGCCATTTTTTTTTAAAATTTGCGAGTGGGAATAACAGCGGCAGGCGTAACAATGAGTCAGATGCTGCGCGAATGTAAATATCATCTGGACGTGTGCAGCTTTGTAATTGGACAGTGCATCATTGGGGGGGGGGCTCCAATGTTTGTTGTTTAGTTTTTAGGACCGCAATATTTTTTTTACATAATGCGTTTAAACTAATATCAGTTTTTAAAACTACATCAATGACATCCTTCCCAAAAATGGCTCAACAGCGAGTAACAATCTGATTGGCTGAGGACCTCTGAGGTATTAAACCCCAAAATTTTAAAAAGTTTTCTCAAATTCCTTTAACCTCCTTAACTACTTAATTCATTTAAATATGAATATTTAATAATTCAGTTCCCAACTGGTTTAGATGCATAGTAAAGTAAAGTTTGTCCCACTGAACGCCATGCAGGCGCTTGGGGGGAGAGGAGGTGTAACTCCTCTCTTCCTTGACCTCGGCACTAGATGGGGTGAGTGGTCAGCATCACGCCCCGGCCGGCTTTACCCCCGGGAAAGGATCCCGGTACCCATTGTAGAGGAGGCTGGGTGGGCCCC